ACTATACAGTTTATTAAATCTTCCATGAGAGAATATCCTTCTTGACCGCTGTAAATTCCATGTACCTAACCTCTAACATTATGATTAAAGATAGTAATTAATTCAAATCATTTTCATATTGTTGTTCTAAATTACAAATTTTGTTTTTACCCAAATTATATCGTTTATGCCAAACCATATTAGTATTATTAAGATCTATAAATTTTGGATTACAATAATTTGAAACTATTTTACCAAAAAATATATCTTCACCAATAGAAGATTCAGTAATAAGACTATTACGTAAAAAACATTCAGCTAATTCTCTTCCCAACATATAAAATTCACCTCTCATAAAAATAAATTTATGCATTGTTACCTCAACTATATACTCAGCTAATATACCAGCGTAGTTATTTGATTCAAATTTGTTTACAAGATCATAATATAAATGTGGATGAATTAGACCATCATCATCAAGTTTAGAAAATGTCTTTGCATTTGGAAATTGAGATAATAATTGCGTAAGTGTATCAATTAGTTTAAGATGTAATGTACTATAATTATATTCGTTTTGTAATTCTAGGCATGGTGTCACTATACATTTCCACCTTTGATCTCCTATAAAGATAATATTATCAGAATATGATAACATTTTATAAAATGTGTCATCTGTTCTGTTTTTTTGATATATAAATATTACATGTGTTTGTTCAAAGTTTTTCATAATATTCTCTTGTAAAGGAACTGTATATGGTACTGTATTGTAAAAGTACAACATACGCTCTATAAAAATTGAAAATATAAAGCCTAATATAAAACTAATAATAATTTTTAAATGGCGTTTATATTGGTTTATATTCATATTTAGAAAAAAAAAAGTGATTTAAAGTCTGAAAGCGGGTTAATGCATTATATAAATATATACTGTTTCACAATTTTCTAAAGTTTACCAAAATAATGCGATAATAGTTGCTTGTGTTCAAATAAATTATTCTTTTGGAAGGTTGGCTTATTTATTCTTTATTTAATGCTTATACGTAAATATTTTCACAATAAGAACTGGGAACCGGTATAAGTCCGGAGCATAAGTTGAATGTGTACAGGTTTGAAAATTTTTTAAAATTCGTTAATATTAGGGTTGGCGTCTAGAATATGGTTAGAGATTAGGTATCTGTATAGTAAAATCGTTTAAAGAAAACCTTTTTGTTAAAGAATTAAAGCTGATTTCTTATACAGATTTTCGAGAAATAAGCGATTTTTGACAAAATGAACTGTTGTTTTGAAAATTTTCTTATTATGTTACATTACATCCAATATTGAAATTTGATTCATAGTTTGGCACACATTTCAGACATGTTTTATAAATGCCTCCAGGTTTGTAGTGCAGCTAAAGTTTTTTAAAGTTCGTTAATGTTAGGGTTAGCATTTAGAATAAGGTTAGAGGTTAGGTACATGGAATTTACAGCGGTCAAGAAGGATATTCTCTCATGGAAGATTTAATAAACTGTATAGT